TCGATGCGGTCTATTAATGCTCGTTACCCCCATTTCCCACAAATTCCTCGCACTAATGCAAATTTCCGGCGCCTCCGCCCTCCTCCGATGCTCTAATTGACCTGCGTAATTCCATCATGGCTAGGTGTGGCACAATGGCGGGAAGGCGGTCCGTTTGAAAGTTGGGAGGCCGTCCACTTTTTTAGGCGAGCCTTTTCTTTCTGTCTCGCTCTCGCCTCCCACCCACTAGTTTTTCTCAATACACCTAATTCCGATGGGCTGCCCTGCTGGGTTTGGGCTATTAGCGTCCAAAAAAGCTTCGAAAATGGTTTGGAAAGCGCCGATCCCGAGGATTGCGGTGGATTTTTTTCTTGATCCCTCTCTCTCGCTCGCTCTCTCTGTTTCTCACGCTCTCTCCCTGTTTCTATCTCTCTCTCTCTCTCTCCCGCTCTCTCGATCTGATTGATTACGTTTTTCTCGCGCTCATTCATCTCACGCTCTGTCTGACTCTCTTGCTCTCTTCCGCTCTCCATCTCTCGCCTGATCTCGCTTTCTAGCACTTTCTATTTCTCTTGTCTTCAGTAGTAAAATATGCTAATGTTGTCCTAAAAAGACTAACGAATTTTTTGTGGCCAAATCCATCGCTTTTTAGCCTTCCTATTCCCTTTAAAGCGCGAGAATTTCTCAAACTTTGCTATTTACATCCCCCCCAAGGCCCATTTGCATCTACACCATTCACTAATCCCAAAATTGAGTGCATGGAATCGGAATGACCCTTCCTTCCTCCTCGGATGGATCTCCCCACATACCATCCATTGTATTCTGCACACCGCCCACGGCACTACCGATCGGATCGCTCTTTCCGTATCTCTCTCTCTTTCTCTCCCTCTCGCTCTCTCTCTAGCCTGCAGGACGACCCCACCCACATTTGCCTGCGCGTTCGTGCGCTCGTTTTGGCAAAACCATCGATGCGCGTGCATCTGCCAACTGGAAATCTTGGGCTTAGGCGTATCGGCTTAGAATTAGGTTTAGGTGTAAGCTTAGGCTTGGGCTCAGGCCTAGGCTTAGGTTTCAGCTTAAGTTAGGTTTAGCTTAGTCTTTGGCTTGGGCTTGGCTTACTTGCTAATTTTAGGATCGTGATAATTGTTACAAGATGTCTCTCCCTCTCTCACTCTTTCTCTCTCCCTCTCTCTCCTTCTCTCTCTCTCTCTCGCTCGATCTTACTCTATTTTTGTCGTGCTCCCCGTTTTGAGCCCATTTCATCCTGGTTTTTATGTTCTTTTTCTTTTTCATCCCGTCTCATCTTCTCCTCCCCACTTTTCCATGAGGGTAGAGGCCGTCGGGCAATGGCCGTTCCTTCTCTACTTCTTTCTCGTCAGTTCTTCCTCCCTCTCCTCCCCAGCCATTTGATGGATCCCTAGAGAATTCTTCTGCCGTGTGTGTGTCCGCTCTTGTCGCCGGACCTTTTGGGCTAGAAAAACACGGCATAACTTTTGCAGCTTGATTTTAAATTTCTAAAATTTCTAATAGCTTCCTTAGAAACTCAGCATTAAACATTTGATATTAAACTGAAGCAAAAAATCCGAAAGCCAAAATGCGGACCAATTTTTGTTTTAAAACTGTCGGCATTTTGGGAAATAGCGGCATTTTTGAACTGTCGGTATTTCCCGATTAGCGCAATCCATGTTTTGGGATCTAGCTGTCGGTATTTTCTCATACAACCATCCTTAAATTGTCGGTATTTTTGGTATGCTAATTTTTCGATCTCGGCTTTTTCGACTGTTTTTAATTGCTGACCGAACCGATTTGATTTTGGCTTCAGGTTATTTTGCAGTATCGGTATTATTTCCCTAGGCGTGGCCCGATTAGGAGCGGTGTTGTCGGTATTTTTCTCCACATTTTTGCATTGGGCCGATCGCCATTTTAGGTTGTTGGCGATTTTGCGAAACGTCGAAATTGTGTTAACCGGGATTTTTAACTTTTGCATGTTACTTATAGGGGTCAGAATTCTTGTTGTCGGCATTCTCGTTGTCGGCATTTTCCTTTCTCGACAGACTAGCAAATTCTTGGATTTTTTCCTGCTTTTTTTTTTGCCTTTTCCGTTCGGCTCCTCCTTCCGCAAATCCCGGTTGCTTCTGTATAGTCGTTGATTCCAAGTTTTCGGCATTTTTTTGGGGGGACTTTTTAGCTTTTTTTTTCTGGGGGAAACCGACTCACCAGATCAAGCGGCCCTAACGAGAGTAGGCCAGAAAAAACCGAAAGGGCCAATAAGGGGCCCAAGAGGGACCACAGACGAGCTCAAAAAGCTTCAGCTCCACTGGCTACAGCCCCTAATCAGTGTGGCCCCACCCCGGGCCATAGACCTGTTGTGGACTGGAGCCTAAGGCTGCCGGGCCCAAGGCTGGGTGGGCCCTAAGGCCGGGGCCATAGTTAGGGCCCATTTTCACGACCCAGCCAAGGATGGGGAGGGGACATGTCCCCGGGGCATTCCACCACGCTCCTCCTCCTCCAGCACATCCGGAGACCCATCCCCGGCAGCGCCAACAGGCCGTCTGAAAACTTTTGAGTTGAATCTGTGGGTTTAAAGGGATGGTGAAGGCCAAAATTCCTATGGTTTCCCAGGTTTTAGGACCCAAATCTTTCATTTCTGCTTTTCACTTATTGTTCACCGTATCAAGACCGAATTCGCATTTTAAATTATTTATTGCGAATTAAAATATTTTTCTTTATTTAAGCGTCTTGTAAAGGCTGCATTTTATAGATTTCCGGTTTTACAACGCCCGAAATCATCATTTCTTTCATTGTATCGTAGTTACCGCAGCATTTGCATATGTTGAGGTTTTTGGACGATCTGAAACAAAATCCGGCTTTTTAACAGACCTTGGAAGGCTTATTTTATATGGATTTCTGACGTTTGATGCTCGAAATTTATGAATTTTGTCATTTTCGATTTTCCGAGACCTAATTTGCATATTCTACGTTGTTGAAGTTCTAAGCTAAGCTAGTCTAAACATTTTTCAATTGATTACGTCATGTTAATCTCCTCATAGTCTCGCGATGCTAAAAACCTACGAATTTCCGATTCGATACTAATGTCAGAGCCCTGAATTTATATTTTTCAAGCAGGGATTCATCACGCCATGTAAATACCCATTCGCCTCCATGTTCCCAAATAATCAATGCTAAAAACTGGGGGAGGTGGGCGTTATCTTCTTCCGGCCCCTCGACCAGCCAGCCACCGGCGACCAGTACGAATGATTCATAGTGTTTTTCTTCGGGTTTTTATGTTTTCCGCTCTTGTTCTCTCTCTCTCTCTCTCTCTCTCTCTCTCTCTCTCTCTCTCCCTTCAAACGATTTTATTACTTCCTTTTCCGATTTTCCGATCCCGACCCATCATGGTCCAGGCGCTTTTTGTGACTCAGTAAAGTCTTTCTTCTTCGGCTTATCCCAACCGGTCCGTCAGCTGGAGCTTTGAGACTCAATTCCGGCCGCCCGATTCTAGCAGATCGCCGGCCGAATCAAGACTGAAATTGGGCCAATCGAAGCCTTTTACAGCCCCCTCCCCCCCTTGCCCAGCATTGCACCGGCAAGCGGGCGCAGCAGCTGCCTTCCTGCTTGTCTTTTTTTTTGTAGCGTTGTTTTTTACCACATAAATAGGGATATTTTCGATTTGTATATCTTCGAATTCTCTCTCACTCTCTCGCTCACCCAGGTGGGCTGCCTCTCTCTCACTCTCTCTCTCCACTCTCTCTCCTGTCTCCCTCTTTCGCTCTCTGTTTCTCTCTTTCTCACGCTCTCTCGCTCCTTGCTCGCTCGTCTCTCTCTCGCTCTCTCTCTCTCACTCACGGTGTCTCCCTGCGTGATCTACCACTATCTCGATGTCTCTCTCGATGTCTCTCTCGATGTCTCTCTCGACTTTCGTCTGACCTTAATGCTCCATTCACTCGTCCTCCTCATTTTATGACAATATACTAATCCCACCATTTTCAGGCTCCCCTCCCCTCGACTAAAGGGACAGGCAAGTAACGATCCCTTCCTATTCACAGCTTCTCTCATCTCCTCGATCCCTCGAAAATTCTCTTCAAAACGAATTCTGGGAGGCGATGATAGTTGGGAAATGTCCATTTCTTCGCCCAAAACGATGAACACTTACCAGATGGCGGATACGACCGCCCCGATTAATTATCGCGACGATATTCTGTCTATTTTCTATACTCCAACTGGGTGGCGCTCAACAGCAATGGCATACCTTCGACAATCCACACTCGGCTGATGGGCAATTTTTCCAGAAAATGGTGGGTCTTGAGCATTTTTTAGAGGGAAAGAGAGACAGAGAGAGAGAGAGAGGGAGAGAGAGAGCGACAGAGAGAGAAGAAGAAAATGTATAATCGACATTTTCCAGGTAATCGACCCGGCCACCTCTCGATTATACGTCGGCGGCGTCAACCATTTATACGATCTGACCTCCGAGACGTTATCTGTAAGGATACACGCGCAAACCGGGCCGGAAGATGATGCTGAGGAGTGTCGTGGAGGTCAGATTTTTTCGAAAGTTTACTATTACCCTCTCTATCTCGCTCTCTCTCTCGCTCTCTCTCTCTCTCTGTCGCTCCCTCTCCCTCTCATTCTATCTTGTGTCATGATCCTTTAAACCTCTCGGAATCGATACCTATCTTAGTGGTTTCTCGGGGATCGCCACCTTCCCGGTGCACGGCCCATTTCACTCGAATCGCCTTTAACTTTCCCCCTCCTCGGCTAGCCGGTATTTGCATTTTGCATGCCTATTCGAGGTGGTCGAGTAGAAATCAGCTAAAAAATTCCTCTCGTTCTAGCCAGCTCCCTCTCTCTCTCTCTCTCTCTCTCTCTCTCTCTCTCTCTCTCTCTCTCTATCCCACCCTATCTCTCGCTCTCTCGTTTTCTATCGAAAGTTAGACGCTAAAAATCTCCAGTATCCATTATTTTCAGGCAAAAACGATGAGTGCAAAGTCCCGAGACGACCCTACAATTCCTACACGAAAGCGATGGCCGTCTACGACAAATCGAGCAAACTTATCGAGTGCACCTCGTTGTTTCAAGTAAGCCAACCTCTGAATTACCGTTACGGATCATTTCCTTAGGGCCGTTGCCGACTCCGAAATCTGCACAACATCAGCGAAACTCCGGTCGTCTCTGAAACTCCGGTTATTGCCAATGATGAACCGAGCAGTGCTGTGGTGAGTAAATTTATATTTTTTGACTTTAATAGTCCTTTAAAATACCACAAAGTGATGCTAGCGTCCGTGTTCTTTTGAACGCGTAGCGGACGCGCTGTGTTTGCGTGTTTTTCTCGAATGCAAAGGGGTTTCTAGAGGATCGCGAATCTTGTAATAACGGCGATACCGATCCACGGCGTCAATCCTAACGTTGCGTACTCGAGTATCGTCGCGTAGTTCACCGCAGCGCATTCGTAACGGGTTCACTAGGCGCAACTAAAACCCCATTGTAAAAAGAATGCGGCACTTGAAAAAAGTTAGGAATTAGCTGTTCATTAGCTCTGTTTTACGGTGTCGATAGCAATGTGGCGTAATCGCTTATCGTAACTTACTTGCCCGCAACTCAAGCCGCACCGCGTTCACGCGACTCTGCTGTAAGGGCTTGTTAAGGGAAAACGGCGCCTTAAAAACTTCAATTTAACAGCACGATGGCTACATATTCATAGTGAAATAGGCGTGTATGGTAGTCCACCTTAAAAGCCCTTTCCAGGTATTCGTCGGCGGTGGCCCAGTAGAAGATCGTCACGTCCTGTACGTCGCCTCGACCTTTGTCCAAATGACAAGGCAACAACATACCGTGAAGAAATCCCGGCTATGGCTTCACTGGCCCTTGAAAAACTGGTGACAGACCGGAGAAGAATTAAGGAATTTGACCGGGAAGAGAACCCAGTGGCCGGGGGACTTTATCGATATGGACCGGAAGCACAAGAGCACGTACAAGATTCACTACGTTGGAGGGTTCGAATCCGGCGATTACGCCTATTTTGCCACCCGGCAGCTCCCAGCAAGCTTTATGAGGGCCACATCGAGAGCAAGCTGGTCAGGGTGTGCAAGGGCGATCCGAACTACAACTCGTACACTGAGGTGGGACTTCAACGGAATTACTGTCTTAAACAAGTCGTTTAATTACCCTAAAAATTTCAAAAATTCACAAAAATGTAATTTTCGAGCTAAAAATACTCAAAATTACCGTAAATTTCAAAATTTTACCTTACAAAGTCTCATTTTTAGCCATGGAAAGTATTGTTTTGATACCGTAGTCTTATATTGTATCTTACAAAGCTTAAAAATCTCTTTTTCAGGTCTCTCTAACGTGTAAGAACAAGAATATGGACTATAACCTGCTGACCGACGTCTATCTGTCGAAGGCTGGCTACGATTTGGCAAAGGAGCTTGATATTCGGTAGGCATCTCTCTCTTCTCTCTCTCGCTCTCTGGCTCTCTCTCTATCTCTCGCTTTCTCACTCTCGCCAGCCCTCACTCTTTCATTACGAACCGTAAAACCTAATTTGAATTTTTAGGGAAAACGACGCTGTCCTCTACGGTGTCTTCCAGCTCGGCGATCCCACTTCTAGCAAGAAGGAGGTAAAAATTATCAGATTTCAAATTTTGATTTTAATATTCTCTTACTTGTCTTACATTTGAAGCTAATTTTAAAACCCTTAATGTTTAATTTTTAAATTTCATTATCATTTTCACATCCGTTTTTTTCAGGTTCCCACCGCCGAATCCGCGCTGTGTATCTACTCCATGCGTGACGTTGAGGAAATGTTCCGAGAAAACATCATGACTTGCTATCAGGGAGCCGGAAACAAGGTAAGTAGCAATTGTAATTACCATAACCCGTACCGTAATCGTAAGTTTTTGCCTTTTCCGAAGGTTCCTGAGCGCGAGTTGTTCCCGTAGACATCTTTACCTTCCCGGTTTCCTTTCTTCTTTTCTCAAATTTAGGAATTTCCTGTCGTAATTGCCGATTTTTCGCGTAGCTCAGATTTTTTCAGTTTTAATGCTTTAATAATATTTTCCATTCAGGGCCTCGAATGGCTTAACATCCGCCAAGAATGCGTGTCCACGAAACTGCGATGGGAACAACTGAAGTGTGGCAGTGACGTGAACAAGCTGATCGGAGGAGCCAAGGCGATTGAGTCGAAGCCCGTGCTGGAAATGGGTGGAAGGTGAGAGAGAGAGAGAGAGAGAGAGAGAGAGAGAGAGTGAGAGAGCGGGGGTGTGGATGAGAGAGAGGATGAGAGAGATGAGAAGGAGAGAGAGCGAGATCGAGGGAGAGAGAATTCCTTCCAAATCCCTTTAATGGTAATTATTTCCAGATTCACCGCTGTCGCCGCCAACACGACCCACAGTACGACGATCGTTTTCATCGGAACCGATGATGGGCGGATTTTAAAGGTGCGGTTACACTATTGATGACGCGTTCTCTCTCACTCTCTCTTTCATTCTCTCACTATCTCTCTCTCTCTCTCTCTCTCTCTCCCCTCTCTCGCCCTATCTTTCTAAAGCTTATAATTGGCCGGCCCATGCCCCCCCCCCCGGGCTATCCAAATCCGTATGCAAATAGCCGTGGCGCGGGAACGCCGAGCGGCGAGATTCGTGCCACCCGCAAAATTCCCAGAGCATAAATCGTCCCGATGGGTCGGGTTTTACCGCGGGTAAATGGGTGGAAAAATTGTTTAAGAAATGGGGTCCAGATAAATTCTGCAAAATCAGGCGAATTTCCTAGGTCTTAAAAAGTAGTAAATTGCAAAAGTTCCACAAGTTAACTTGATTTTTCAGACGTCCATCCAGTACCGTAACTCGACGTTCGTCTACGAAGAGTTGCACGTCTCGCCGAATGAGCCGATTTTGCAGGATATGGAATTTTCGGAGACCGGGAAATACGTCTACGTCTTGACGCCGAGAAAGGTTTGTCCATCAAGATTTTTGGCAACAAAATTGTTTTAAAGGTTAATTTTATTATTTTTAAAGGTTCAAGTTTTGTCGATATTTGATTTTTTTTACATTTTACTTGTCGAAAATTCAATTTATAAGAAATTATGGGTTTTCGGCTTTTTCGAAAAATCGATCTCTATCGGATTCGACAAAAATTAAATGCCCCCAAGTTAAAATTTCGATAAGTGAAATATCAATAAAATTTTAGAAACTCCGAAAAATTGCATTTCGGCATTCTGATTTTCGACACTGATAGAAAATCTTTCTCATTCTCTCTCTCTCTGTCTCTCGCTCGCTCGCTCTCTCTCTCTCTCTCTCTCTTTCTCTTGCTTGCTCTCTATGTCTGTTTCTCTCCCCGAATTCCAAAATCCTGACCTGGGCCTCCCCAAAAACCGAATCCAGTTTTTGGCACCCTGCCCAAAACCGATCAAATCCCCTGACCACCCTGCCCGTTCTAAAGGAATTATCCTCTCCGCTAGTCCGCCTCGCTCCTCTGTCCGTACAGAGTAGCCAGACGGATTCGTGTTGGATCCCGGGGACCATTGGGGCATTCTCGGTCCGACGGGAAGTCGTTTGCATCGAATGGCTCCCTCTTCTTGGGGGCTAAACCGGAGATTCCTTGGGGGTCTCGGCACGCCATCCGGGCGAGGCGACTAGTTGCCATTTTGGGAGGACAGAAAGTTAGGGAATTGGAGGGGTTGAGACAGTTTTAAAGGGGCTGGGAAGCGAAGAGATTCGGTAAACTTTCTAGGAGTTTTTAGAAGATGGACTTAGGGTTTCTAAAAGCCATAAAATGGCTGGCTGCAGCCCCAAAAAAAACTTAAAATTGCCTTTTAAAGGGACTAGGAAGTGAAAGAATTCTATGGATTTTGAGCAAAATTACAAATACATGGCGGAAGGCCTAAAAAAGCACTGATTTCGGTATGTAAAATTTAATTTATAGGCTCATGATAATCGAAAAAAATTGTTTTCTGAGGCTATTGAAACGAACTAGGAAGTAAAAAATTGCTCTGGATTTCCGGAAAAAGTAATGAACAAAAATAAACATTTTGCAAAAAGTCGTGATTTTGCTAAAATTGCCTTTTCAGACATTTTAAGGGCGCCGTGAAGTCTGGTTCTTCTGAAAATCATGCACCAAGTAGCTCTAATAAACGCTACGAAGACTTAAAATTAGTCAGCCCAATTTCAAGCCCTTACGCCACCTCTTGGATCTGCCGTCCGAGGCATAATTAGGCACCCCTGGCCCCTAGGACATCATCATCTTCGATGATACGGCGATCTTTGTGCATGTTCTTCATGTTCGTGCAGACTCATTGCTCTCTCCCTCGCTCTCTCGCACTTTCTTTCTCTCGCTCTCTCTCTCTCTCTCGCTCTCTCTCTATATCTCTCGCTCTTTCGCCTAGCAACAACAAAGAAGGGATAGATGTCGAGGAAGACGGATAATTGGGCCGACAGGCGAAGGGGACTTCGACCCGCCTGAAGGGGTCCAAAATTGCAGAGCAATAAATTAAAAGTATCCCAACGTACAGAGTACCGTATCGTACTATACCACAACTTTAAAGGGAAAATTTCAGTTTTATGTTTTTGAGCATAAAAAACTTTTTTCTAGGTGACCCGAATCCCCACCTCCGAGGTGTGGCTCCTTGGCTACGAGCTGCAGCGCTTGCGTAGGGAGGAAAGATCCGTACTGTGGATGGTGTGACGTCCTCAATCAATGCACCGACGCTTCTGAATGCCACCGGGATATCCCAAGATGGAAGGGATGGCTCGACTACCAGAACGATTTGTGTCCCACGTAAGTACTCCGTTTTAACGGGACGCACAAGGCAAAATTTACTGCCAAATAGGTCTAAAAATGCTAATTTTTCATTTAAAGAAACGTTGAGGGCAATTGTCTTGCATTAGTAGCGAATAGAGGCATTAATTTGGTTTATAATCCACGTTGAGTTACTGTAATTCATCTTCTTTCCAGCATCGGACCGCGTCGTCCCCTCCCAAACCAAGTGACCACCTCCGACTACTGAACGTCACCATCCAAAATGTTGGCGAGGCCATAGGGCAGCTGCGATGCCAGTTTCGGTGGGTTTAAAGGGGCAGTGACAGCTGGAATTTCATACCGTATCTTTCGGAGAGAACATTTTTAATTCTTTACTTTAGATTTACATCTCCATACGACCAGGTTGTCGACGTCGAGCCGCCAAAACATCACGGAGGCTCGGATGGGTACGTATAAACCAAAATTTTGTGTTTTTCCGGATTTTTCCACTTTTACGAGTTTTTTAAACGATACCTACCGTAATTTGAAGTATTTTTCCGCTTAAAAAGATTTTTTGAGCGCAACGAACGATTTTTGTTGATTTTCCTAATTGTTCCGTTACAGTACGATCCCGGTAAAAGACACCATCTCAGCCGCATTCCGCCTATTCCGGCTAATCAATCTTACCTCGTCGCTGCTCTGGCAATTACGCCAGAAGGACGTACGGCTCCTATTGCCACCACCAACTTTGCACTTCTACGATTGTGGGAAGTATAAGAGCTGCTCGGAGTGTACTAGGAGTGAGTTTTTATTTGAATTTGTTATTCTCTCACTCTCTCGCTCTCTCTCTCGCTCTCCTTTTCACTGTCTCTCTCACTGTCTCTCTCGCTCTCTCTTCCCTCCTCCCTCTCACTCTCTCCTCTCGCTCTCCACGCCAACTCTCTATCTCTCTCTCGCGCTCTCAAAGTGTAGCATACACGCTGCGTTTTAGCAAAATTTATTGCGACGCATCCTACTAGCCAATCTTCTCCGAAAAGCAGAAATACCTAGCCGACACTGTCCCTTTGGAGTACGTAACGTTCCGCTATGCCTACGTACACCGTAGACGTAGCGTACCGTATTCCTATTAGCCGAACCACCCTAATCATCCATTTTCAGGCCAATTCCCATGCGACTGGTGCCTCGAGTCGAACGAGTGTGTCGACGGGAAGTTGACGGAGGACAGATGCCGTCAACAGAACTTCATCAATGGCATCGCGGTGGGTTTTCATTAAAACTTTTAGGACTGAAATATAATCCTTTAACGTCCCTTTTGGAATTTTTGAGTGTTAGAAAACGTTTAAAAATTCAGAAAAAAGTTTTAAATCTTAAAAAGAACTTTAAACTTAGTTTAACACGATTTAGATAATAGGTCAGCAACGTACTATATAATTTAATGGCGTAATCGAATGTTTCCTTTTCAGCGAAAAGGCCAATCCCCTCCCGCCAGGGGCCCCAACCACTGCCCCTACATCAAGGCCCCGCACGGCAAGATGTTTGTCGGAGTTGGGGAGAAGCGGAACGTCTCCGTGAAGGTGGCCAACCTCGACCCGTCCGTCATGCACAAATTCCGGTGCTCATTCCGCATCGGGCAGCAGCTCCACGAGAAACAGGCCGCACTTGTTGATGATGACACCATTGTGTACGTCCTTATTGATGGGATTTTGGGTTTAAAGGGCCTTGGAAGGCAAGAGAATGGATTTTTGGGCTATGAAATCCTCTGGAATGCGTCAAAAATTTACCTTAACGTTTCTATTTCAGCTGCGATGAGATGCGCTTCAACCAGCCCGAGCTGAAGATGATCAGCGGCACCGCCCCGGTGGACTTTCAAGTGAATTGGTCATCTCCAACTTCGGACGTGACGCACGCGTTCGATAACGTCAACGGGACGGCTGTTGAGGTGAGAGAGATCCGCTAAAAACACTAATTTTTCAGGTATATCGCTGCGAGGGGAGCTGGCTTCAAACTGCGGGCTCTGCTTGTCCCTCGACCCCACCAAGTTCGACTGCGGCTGGTGCGAGAAGGATGCAAAGTCAGTGAAAGCACGAAGGATAAAGATAGAGAGAGAGAGAGAGAGAGAGAGAGAGAGAGGGAGAGAGAAAGAGAGAGAAAGAGAGAGGGGGGAGAGAGAGGGAGACAAGGGAGAGAGACAGAGAAAGATCGAGAGAGAGCAAGAGCGCAAGAAAGTGAGAGAGAGCAAGAGAGAGCAGAGTAGCCAGGAAACACCTCTAAATCGTACCATTTTCAGATGCGTACGACCCCGTGCCTGCCGTTGGCGAAGCCCGAGTGATTGGCTGAACTCGACGCAGCTTTGCCCTCACCCCGTGATCATCTCCTTCGACCCGAAGAAAGGCCCGGCTCACGGCAACACGAAGATCCGCGTCACCGGCGTGAATCTCGGACGTTCAGCTGCTGATCTTCGTGGAGCTGTCCTAGTTGCGAACGTCCCCTGCACCGTCCAAACAGCAGACTTCATCTCGCCATCCGAGTTCTATTGCACGACGAAAAATGCCCCAGGCGTCGGCTATAAGGGCCCGATGATCCTGAAACTTCAAGATTCCCCCATCTACTCTGTGGTCACCACCGAGCAGTTCAGCTACGTCGAGCCGAAGATCCTGGGCGTGGACCCGGTGGAGGGGCCGACATCAGGTAGCGATTTTCGGCGACTGACGGTTCTTGATTGTTAGCGGGGTGGGAGACAAAAGCTCTCTCTGTAGTCTATTCATACCTAGAAAATTTTTAGTGTTTTACAGGTTTTTTTGCTAAGGAAATCATAAAAGGTGTATAACGTCTAAACATTTCACATCTTTAGCTTTTTGCCCTGGTAATTTTAACCTGCCGTTAACGTGAAGAAACGTAAGACCACATAAAAAATCTAGTAAAAAAGCAAAAATTTCGATTTTTTTTCAACTTGAAAAACCTCGAAAATTCTAAATTGTTTAAAAATTCTCATAATTTTTGAAAAAGCGTTTACATTGAGCGCAAAAACCATTTTGATTCTAAACAAAAAAAATCGTTTATCGGCCAAAATTTCGAGATTTTTGCAAAAATTGTGTAAAGTCACAATAGTTTTCCACTTTAATTTTAGTTTAATTTTACTAAAATAACTAGCAAAATATTTATTAATGCATTACGGGTATTTTACGCTTAAACAAAAAAAATACTTTCCTAAGACCCGCCCACCCCCGACAATGCAAAAGCGCCGGGCGAAAATTAGGATTACCCCCTTGGCAAAAAACATAGGTACCGGGACTTCTCCTCGTAGATCTTAGTAAAAACTTTTTAATTTCAGGCGGCACCGACCTCGTGCTCACCGGCGAGAACCTGGACTCTGGCTCCGAGATGAAGATCAAAATCGGAGGGTCCGCGTGTAAAGTGTTGGAGCGGAATGAGAGTCGAGTGTTGTGCAGGACCGGAGCAGCCCCTATGGAGTCAGGGATGGCCGAGAGACTATCGGGAGATATGCCAATTACCATGGATGTCGATGACAAAGAGGCACACGTCCGCCAGGGGCTCAACTTCGCCTACCGGAACAACCCGAAAATCTTTGAAGTACGGCCGGAACACTCGATAATGGCTGGAGGGATTGTGGTAGATGTGGCTGGGGATGGATTCAAGCTGTTGCAACGGCCACATATGCTGTTGTATGCTGACGGGAAAGCACAACCGAGGGTGAGTAGTTTGAGGCGCGGTTAATGTTGAGCGCGTAATTTTGATGACGTTGGCTTCTATGCATTCCTTTGAGAATTTTCACATTGAAGGGGGAGCGATAGAGAGACAGATAGAGCGAGAGATGAAGAGAGACCATGACAGAGAGAGAGTACCTGAGAGAGAGCGAAAGAGAGTGAGCGAGGAGAGCGAGAGCGAGAGAGGGAGAGAGAGTAAAATAGAGAGTACGATAGAGAGAGAGCGAGAGAGAGAGAGAGTAAGAGAGAGAGATAGAGAGAGAGAGACCGAGAGAGCGGCAGGGAGAGAGACAACAATCAAAAGAGACAGAACAGCTAGAACGAAAAACTTAGTGAGGTTTCCATACACGCAGCGCGCGGCCGCAGCGCCTTGGTAAACATCTGATTTTGGATCCTTTTTAAAAGAGGTAGTTATCACCTTGACTCTCTCACACTCTCCCTCTCTCTCTCTCCCACTCTTTCTCTCTACCTCTCTCGCTCTCAATCTCTGTCTCTCTCTCTCTCTCTCTCTCTCTCTCTCTCTCTCTCTCTCTCTCTCTCTCTGATCTCTCTGATTCTGTTAGTACGTTGTTAATAGCCATATACCCATTTTTGAGGCCGATTTTTGCTATTTATATCTAATCCTCTCTTCCAGGCGGGCCCTCCATGCAACATCAGCGACGACAAGCTGATGCTCTGCAAAATCCCCTCCTACCCGAGCAGTGATCGAAAACCCACCGTCTCCCACCCCCTGCTCGCCTCCTACGCCTTCGACTTCGATGGTACCGTCACCGAAAAACGGCAAATCCGCGTCTACCCCAACCCGAACGTGTCCACCTTCAAGCAGCTGCGCTTCTACCGCCCCGGCGAGGAAACGCTCACCATCAACGCCATCGACGTCAAGGACGTCGCATACGAGCGTGACGTGCGGATCACCGTGGGCGGCGAGGACTGCGCATTGATAGCCATCGGAAAGGATGCCCTGACCTGTAGACCACCAAAGGACAAGCCAGACCTGGGCGGGGGTGTACAGCCCGAAGTCGTCGTACGCGTTGGAGATGAGGCTTATTCAGTTGGAGAACTGTCGTACGATTCTCAGACCCTGCCGGCGGCGGGGATAGCGATTATTGGGCTAATCACGGCGATCTTGGCCATAATGCTGATCGTTGTCGGGTTTATGTACAAGAAGAAGACGAATTCCCATCAGAGGCAAATGAAATACCTGAAACACCAGATGGACAACATCGAGATGAAGGTGGCCACCGAGTGCAAGGAGGCATTTGCCGAGCTGCAGACGTCGTTGAACGCGTACTCGGCCGAGTTGCCGCTGGGCTCGTCGATGGTGCCTTTCTTGGAGTACAAGGAATACGCGGCCAGAGTGTTGTTCCCAAATCTGCACAAGCACCCCGTACTCCGCGAACTTGAGGTGGACAGCACGAGGGCGGCTGCGGTGGAGAATTCGCTGAGGGAGTTCCACAAGCTCATCCTCAACAAGGTCAGTGTTTTTGTTTTATTCCTAGGGATCTAATTTTTCGAATATAAATAGAAAACATGTTTCTAATTTTTTACTAATTCTAAGCGTATAAATTTACAAAAAATACTAAATACAACTTAAAAATACATTTTTCGTCCAAAAGATCCTTTTCGACAAAAAATTCGACTCTGTAAGCCGTTTTGAAGTTTTGAAAACTAGCATTCGATATTCTGAAATTTCGACGTTATGAAATGCTAGATCGAATGGAATTTTCGCAAATTTTAAATTTGGAAACTATGAAATTTCGGCATAAGCGAATATCGACATTATCGATTTCGACATTATGAGCTTTCGGCATGCGGAAATTTCAAAAATTCAAAAATTTGGAAACTCTGAAATTTCGACGTTGTAAATTCTGAAAGTTATGAATTTTTTAATTCTCCATTTTCGGCATTATGAATTTCGGCATGCCTAAATAGCGTCATTCTGAAATTGATATTCTAACTTTCGATTTAAGGATTAGATTCTAAAATTCCGGCATTCGAAATTCCGATGTCCCATCTAATAAAAACCTCAAAACCCACCATAACCGCCTCTTTTTCAGACGTTCCTCACCACCTGGGTGCGCGTCATGGAGTCCAACAAGTACTTCCTGGGCAAAGATCGTGTCTACGTCGGCTCCCTGCTGATGGTCGTGCTCCAAGAGAAGATGCCCTACTGTACCGAGATCCTCAAACACCTTCTCAAAGAACTCATCGAGCGGACCGTCGAGAAGAAGTTCCAGCCCAAGATCCTCTTCCGACGATCGGAAAGTGTCGCAGAACGGATGCTGGCCGCCTGGTTTACCTTCCTCATGCACAAACATCTACTGGCATATCAAGGATCGGCTGGGAGAAAGCTCTACGAATTATACTGGGGTATTAAACAACAAATGGAAAAAGGACCCCAGGATGCTGTGACGCTTGAAGCTAGATATTCTCTGTCAGAAGAGAAACTACTCCGCGCCACGTTTGAGTATAAGGAGCTGACGATATTCATCGCTGGGGAGGTCAATATCAATGGATTCGCGCAACCGGATGTGCCTGTCAGGGTGCTGGATTGTGATACGGTCACGCAGGTATGTTTCTATGTTAAATAGTACGAAAAATACCTTGATATACTACTGTAAATAGGAAGCCTTCGGCATTTTTTGAGACTTTAGGGGTTTGAAGGGACCGGGAAGTGAAGAACATTTTAGTTTAGTTATAATCCCGACAGCCAAAATCTCAACACCAATAATCCCGACAAACCAAAGTCCCGATAACGATAATCCCGACAGCCAAAATACCGACAGCCATAATTCAAACTGTGATAATCTCCCACAGCCAAAATCCCAAGCCAGAATCCCGACATCCAACTGGCTGTTTAAAAGAAGCGCCAAGCACATGTCGGCATTTTGACCTGTCGGGATTTTAGCTGTCGGCATTTTGCTTTTTTAGTATTTTGGCACTCGGGATTTTGGCGTTTTCCCGCCGTTTTTTATTTTTTGAGATAAAGAATAGAGATATCGGACTTTTATTTTCGAATTTTCAAAAGTATTCTAATTTAAACTCGCCCAAAAGCTGTAAAATCGCCATGTACCTTAAAATACTAACTCCATTTTTTCAGGTGAAAGAAAAGTGCCTGGAGGCGAAATTCCGCGCCATCCCCTACTCGGAACGTCCAAAGGCCGACGATCTGGATCTCGAATGGCGAACGGGGCTGAATGGGCGGTTACTGCTCCAAGATGTCGACAGCACAAGCCGGGTTGAGCCATCCGGATGGAAGAAGATGAACACACTACTCCACTACCAAGTCCCCAACAACGCCGTCATGGGCCTGATGGCCAGGCAGAATAGCTTGTACAATTTGGTGAGTTTTTTAGACTTAGGTTTAGGCTTAGCTCGATCCTGGCTTAGGCTTAGTGGGCTTAGCTTAGGCTCTAGGCTTAGCTTAGGCTTCGGCTTAGGCTTATGTGTAGGCTTGGGCTCAGGCTTAGGCTCAGGTTTGGGCTTAGACGTTTCAAACTGTGTGTTCTGTTTCTCCTATAGCTTATGAAGTGTCTAAGGCTCCCTAAGTCTCTGAGGCCCTTCAAGCCACTTAAGCTTATGAAGCTTCTTATGCCCTGAAAGCCGAAAAAGACTAAAATGAATGTTTTGGACATTTATAATTCTATTTTTTCAGTCCCTGCTCTCCGAACGAAGCGAAAAATCGACAATGTCGATCAAGAACTCGCCTACGCTATCCCGGCCATTTGGGACATCGTCATCGTCATATTCCCGCGAGCACGACACACATAACAAGCTCTACCATCTTGTCAAGACACCCGAACACGGCCCGAACGACTCGAATGAGAAGATGGTGTCCGAGATTTACCTTACGAGGTGGGAAAAATTACCTTCACAAACGCTTAGCTTAAAAAAAAGCAATATGCCGGTATTGAAAAGTTGCAAAAAGTCGATTTTATTTAAAAATCCAAAAATTCCGGATAGCAACTAATAACGTAATCGGAATCAACGCAAAAAAACTGGATTAGAAAAACTGTTTTCCGGTTTGATCGATCAAGTTCCAATCGACTAAAATCACCTATTCCAGACTTCTGATGATGAAGGGTACGCTCCAAAAGTTCATCAACGACCTGCTGGAGGCCATCTTCTCCACTGGGGGAAATGCTGGGGGACTACCGTACTGTATCAAGTACATGTTCGACTTTATGGACGATCAGGTAAGCACTAGAATCGAAAGTTATAACAAGAATTTTCAATTTTTTGACGGTTGCTGATGCTCTCACCCCGATTTAAAAATTCGTTATTTTCTTCTTTAGGCCCAAGAAAACGGGATTACGGATCCGGAGGTGGTGCACGCGTGGAAGAGCAACGCATTACCTCTTCGATTCTGGGTCAATTTGATCAAGAACCCGCACTTCCTCTTCGACATTCCGAAGCCAACAAAGGTAAGTAATACTAGTGCTCTCGCTCGCTCTCTCTCTCTCTCTCTCACTCTCGCGCTTTCTCTATCTCACTATGGCTGCATTTTCCAGGTGGAAGGCTGCCTCTCCGTCGTTGCTCAAACTCTAATGGACGCCTGCTCGACCCAAGATCACCAACTGACCAAAGACAGCCCCTCCAGCAAGCTCCTCTTCGCCAAGGACATCTACCAATATCGGGACCTCGTTGATACGTACGTTTCCAAGTCGATCCAAGTCGTTTTCTCAAGAAAACCTTACCTTCATTTGTCTTGAAAAAAACCATTTTTGAGATTTAATGGCTAGAGCGAATTTGAATTTTCCTTTCACGTTCCTTTGAAAGTAATTTCCTTTTAGCTACTACACTGATATCCAGCGAATGGGCCCGATCCCCGATGCGGAAATGCAGGATATTCTGGCAGAAGAGAGCCGGCAGCACAAGGGTCAATTCCACGTGTTCTCAGCCCTGAACGAACTGTACAAATATCTCGACCAATATCGTGACGGGTTGATCGAGGCCCTCGAACATAGTGAAGCTGCGCAGGCGGCCAGGTTGCCGGCACGGTTACAGGTTAATCTTTGAGCATTAATGAGAGGGCTTTGACAAATGGTTGTGTGCTAGCCTGCCTTGGATGATGGCACTTGATGGTTGCTTTGAGCATTTGATCACGGACGAGTGACGAATGATTCCTCAATAGTCTTTGCTAGCGTCCTTTGATTCTCTACTTGCGCGCTAAAATCACCCGATTCCACCAGGATCTGTGCTTGCTTGCCCTGAAAATTCGCGACTTTTGTATAAAGTTGAGTGGAATTCCTCGATATTCTCTGTTAGCCTGCTTAATAAGGCTAAAAAAAGATTCTATAAGCGTCTCCGCAAGCTGCGCGAAAAATCCATTTCACTGCTAGTGCGCCAGCCTTTCCCAAAAATGTTGAGGAAAATTCCCTCAAGAAACCCTGCTAGTTTGCCGGCCCCACCCTGACTGCGAATTCTGCAGGGGCCTTTGCTAGCTTGCCGCGCAAATTTCGAGCCAGAATGATAGTTTTTCCGCAAGAAACCACGCTAGTTGCCCTCTCTCAGCCGGTCCGCCCAATCCACAAAAATCTTTGCTAGCTTGGCTTTGAAGAAAAAAATCCTCAAAAACCTCTGCTAGCTCGCCTGTCCTAGACAAAAAATCCCTGAAAATCGCTGCTAGCCAGCCCATTCCTTATTTCTCACACTGCATGTTTAGGACTTGCTTTTCACCTCCGCCATCCCGCCTCTAAAATCAGAAAAAGCCTCCTCCCCAAGCTGACCAAGCCCACAAAGCTAGCCAAGCCCTCCTTTCCAAGTCTCTAAATCCTTATAAAAGCTATTTTAATTGTTTTCAGGACATGCTGGCGATGATGGAGTCTCAGCACGTGCCTGACTACGACGGCTCAACCCTTGGCCATCAGTACAATTCGGCCAGTCGACTCATGGGACGCCATTAGTGCGCCGTGGCATTTAATAATATTTATATATCATAATGTCGATTTTTACATCTTCAAATTCAACTCTTCCCCCTCTCTACTCGGTGCTCTTCGATTCGGGTCCTAGGGGCCAGCCCTTACTATGCTAATTTTTAATTTTTAACCAGGGAATTGGTTACGATATTAAAAAAATTTCGGGAATTTAAAGCTGATTTTGCTATCGTAACCGGTTCCCTGGAGCGTTGTGGAAATTGTGGGATTTTTCGGGATACGGTAGCGGCACAAATGGTAATTTTTCCGATCCGGAAATTTTAATTGGATGGCGTAATCGGATGGCAGTTTTTCAATAGGAATTTGATGCCGTAATCAATTAAAATTCCATCGCGTAAGCTATTGAAATTTCCTAGCGTAATCAATTGGAATTCCCTAGCGTAATCGATTGAAATTTCATGCCGTAATCGATTGAGATTTCCTAGCTTAATCGGTTGGAACTTCAAAGCGCAATCTATCGACTTTCGTCGAGTAATCACTGTAATTCGATGACGTAATCGGTTGCCATTTGCCACCGTAATCGATTGGTGTTTTGTGTCGTAATCCATTGAAATTCGATAGCGTATTTGGTTCAGATCTGGAGAAAATTTACGAAAAATTACCATTTTGCAAGGGGTAGGTTATAACCGTATCCTAACGCACCTCAGCCCATGCTACCGTACCCAACCGTAATCGCACAAATTCCACTATTTTTCTTTTTTTCGAAAGCAGCCCCGGACCGCCCGATTGTCTTTTCCGTATCCCCCACTCCCCTCTAGTCGCGGGTCATCTCACTTTTCTCTACTCCAAAAATATACAAATTTTTGTTTGTATGGCTGTTAAAGGGCCCGGCAAGTCAGATCCTTGTGGATGTGCCTTCACCATCCCTTTAAAACGTCAGATTCCATGTTATCGATCCACTCTTCTGCCAGTCTGTGATCTACCCGTGTGTGTACATTAAAATACGCCCCCCAAATCTACCGTAGTCCGCAAGCCCAGGGTATTTTCTCACGATTTTTAAAAGTTGCTCCTTTTTCCTGCATCCTCTCACAAACTACTGCTCCCTCGCATATCGCTGCCTTCACCGTAAGAAATTCTTGATTTTTGCCAATTTCTGGGGCGGTTTGATTGCTTTTAAAGGGGCATTGAAGGCAAAAGTTATGGATTTTTGCCATGGATTTCTTGAGGACTTTGCCGCCCGCGAGACGCAACGCGACCGCTTTTCCACATGACGGAATCGCTTACGCTCGATTTAAGATATCAGCACTGCGTGCGGGTTGCGTTTTGCGGCGTCGAAATTTGCAAAAAATGGCAAATATCCATAACTCTGCCTTGCCAGTCCCTTTAAAGGACCATTAAAGCCAACTTTTTATGTAGAACCGCCCCGGGACCGACAGCTCAACTAGGCAAATTTTCCAAATTGCGATTTCCTCTCTGATATTCCGAGTGCCAAAATGTAGTTTATCGAATGCCGATGGATTTCCTTCTATTATTTTGGTGCTTCTCCAAGCTCTTCCTCCCCTCCCCTCCCTTCCCCCGATGCACTTATTACTTACTTACACTGATTACTGATTACTGATGCCGTATTCCTTTATTGCGTGGGCCACCCCCGGAATTGGGTGGTCAGAGAATAAATTTTAATATAAAAAATATAATACGAGGACTTAACACAGCTTAACAATAATGAAAATGCCTTGAATAACAAGCCAAACTGAAACTTTATAAAATTTAAAATATCAATTTTCAACAAGAGACTTGATGCTCAAAATGCTCATTGCATCAGTCTGACCGGTCGATTTCATTTATATTTTTACTAGCTTTTGATGTGTGCGCTTCTAGGCATTGCTACCGCTTTTTCATGTGTTTTTCTTCGTTTTAAAGGAAGCTGAAATCATGGTTTAATTTTTAATATGTGCTACATTCTCATCCTTTTGAGTTTCAATCTGCCAAATTTTGCCAATTGACGTACTTTACGGTCACCCATTTCTAGCGTTGCTAATGTGAAATCGTACTTGTTGTTATTTGCACTGATCGTCCACTACACAGCTAGGGTATTGAGTGAACGGTGGTTTGTTGGTGGTTTGATTTTTAGCCGGGCGTTTTGTTTACGGGTCGGCTCGAAACCAACGGAACGCCCTTTCAACCAATAGACCCGCGGTAACTGCGAAATGATCTTTATCAAACTTTTTTCCGGTTATACGAAATACCTTTATCTCTCACACTCTTTCTCCCTTCCACTATCTTTCTCACTCCCTTTCACTCACTCTCTCACTCTGGCACTCTCTCTCCCTCTCTCTTTCCCTCTCTCTCATTCTCTCCGGCTCTCTCTGTCTCTTTTCCTCTCCCTCACTCTCTCTCTCGCTCTTTCTCTGCCTCTCTCGCTCTCTCTCTCTCTCTCGCATTTCGATTTCGAAATGAGCTCTGAAGACCCGGCAGTTACTAAATTTCGCGAATACCTCCGCATCCGGACAGAACAGCCAAATCCGGATTACGGTAGAGTTGGAGAAATTTTGCCAGTCTTCAATCTCTTTAGATCGTTGTATGAAATTCCTAGCCGCTCTTGCTGACGAACTTCCGATAAAACATCTAATTGAGGTGCGCGAAGTATCATACAAGACCTAAATTTTTCGATATCTGTTTTAGCCCGAAAAAGGATTCCCCTTCATGGTGATGACGATCCCTGGACAAGAGCCCGATTTGCCCGCAATAATGCTACATTCACATACAGATGTCGTTCCGGTTTCTAAGGTATCTCGCTAGCTTGGAGAGATTTAGGGTATTTTTTAACGTTCAAACCCTCATGGGAATTTCTAAGCGATTGTTTTTAAATAGTGAAATTTCGGGATTTTTAACAGCTTTTTTTGCTTACAACTTTTTGACCTTTTAGGAACACTGGAAACACGATCCGTTCGAAGCGGAAAAAGAGAATGGAAAAATTTATGGCAGGGGTTTGGGCCGATTTCTGAATATCATAGACGTTTTTAGGAACGCAGGACATGAAATGTAATGGAATCCAGTATTTCGAGGCTATTCGGAGACTGTTCAAAAATGGACTAACAAATTTCAAGCGGACAATTCATATCGTTTGAGGGCCAGGTAAGCCGAATATCGATCGCTAAACGATACTACGAGCAATCTGAAACTCTACAAAACTTGATTATATCGCCCTTAAAATTATGGAAA